ACGCCACTTGGAACTCAAGTTTGAAGGACACGCTCGCGGCAACCCCTCTGCTTAATATGACGAGCACAAAGAGAACTTTAAAAAATTTATCGAGGACTGTGTCATTTTCAAGTCCAGTGGGTGTGAGACATAGCACACCAACTGTAAGGGAGCATCTAGTCTTATTTAAGAGGCACTGACACTTCAGACTGCATATATGTATATTTGTGTTTCTTAGGTACTATGTGATCTACCACAGTTACCCACTTTTAACCTAGGAAATGGCAACCTGCTTGGTTACTTTGGCACTTATTACCGGTGCCTGTATGTACATATGTATAAAAAGAATTCTTTAATTTTAGACGAAGCAATGATTTTCTTTTATCAACCGACAGGTCAACCAACGGCGCAACAAATTCATAGGCTGCTTGCAGAGACAAACTGACATCATCCTCTAGCATCCATGGAACAATTGGAAACAAATTGCTGTAACTACGTTCTTCCTCTGTTCAATGCTGAAATATTTACACACATTTCAATTGAATAACCCACCATGCCTGCCTGCCAACATTGCCGTGACTTTATCTATAAGTTGTCATCACCTACTGAAAGTCGCCATGGATATACCACAGTCAATAGGAAAAAAAAGTCGTCAGTAGATGATGTGTTGAGGGATGCTAACAACAGCAGTAAACAATACCATTATATTATTTTATTTCCCCTACTGGCTCTTACCAACTACAGTATTCACTGCTCAAAACACAAATAAGTATGACTTTCTACAGTTGTAGCATTATGTACCACAAACATTCAATTTTTGCTGCTAGTTATTTTCCTGATTTGATGATTTTATCACGGCATTTGTAAAGAAAAAGAATTTCACAAAAGTCGCTAATACTCTGCGTCATAGCAACACAGAGAAATTTTCACTGCTACAAAATTTCATGATACATGAAATTTTGTCTCTCGTAAAATGAAAGTTGTTTACGGTACTCAGTTTGGTTTAGAAATGGGCAAATACTTGACCGTGACCAGATTCACTATAAGTGACAATTTTTTGACTATTTCCACCAAAAAGTATAAACAACTGTCATTGAGGTTTTAAACAGTTGTCAAAACATGGTAAAAATTGATGTATGGTAATGGAAACTACTGAAATTATAGGAAAACAGTACCTTCAGGGGCCATGTATAAAGTACCAGGATGTGTGACCTTCAGGGGCCATGTATAAAGTACCAGGATGTGTGGCCTTCAGGTGCCATGTATAAAGTACCAGGATGTGCGACCTTCAGGGGTCATTCATAAAGCATATATCAGACATTTTAATGCATGTATTTGTGAAATATTTCAGTACCACTTACAGGGTTTTCTGCTTGTAAAAGCTCTAAAGTACAGGTAGTCAAAAATTTTTCATTTTCATACTAGAACATTAACCAAGTTGTATTCTGATTTCATCAAACTGACTCCGAGGTAAATTTGCTTACAATTAATAGAAAAAAAACACCTCATTGCTTAGATTGCAAAACTCTCTCCTTGGTAGAAAGTTTCCCTTGTGGTCTTGAATTAAAAAGTCTTATATGATCACCTCTCTGCAGAAAGAACCCTGATTAAGCACTCACCAGACAACTCGTGTGTTTTCACATGATTAGTCTATATTAACATATAAGTAATAATTTTGATACAAGAAAAGATTTTGTGGATTGTAGTAATGCTAGCTTATTTAGCTTCATGAACAGTCTAATAAATTGAATGTCCGTCCAACTGTTGCTTCATTTCAGTGGAGAGCTTAGAATCTGCTACAATTCTAAACAATCAAAATGAAAACCAACCACCAAACTTGTCTCTACTAAACTGTCTAATTCTGTAAATTACCGGTACTAGTGTGGCATTCTATTGTTTGTGTAAATCTGTTGTATAATCTAATGTCATCGCCACTGAAATCCCCATTGCTGTCTTTTTAACGGCCAGAGTGACGACAGTGTCATCTGTTAAATTTTCATGATTTTATGAACTCGTGGTGTTCACTGTAGACTCAATGTCGCAATGAGCCTGTGAAATTTTCGCTGCTATAAAAATATGGCAATTTTTAAATAAATCGTGGATAGCAACACACACCCTACATGTATTTACCGTAATAACTTGATAAGGTAAGTGCATACCACAAATGTTTTGTTCAACCTTCGCTTGGTGCCATTGTTTACAAGTTAGTCTTTTTTTTTTTGTAAGTATTATAGTGTTTACAGTATGCCACCTGTATTTAGATGTTCAAGTGTTTAGCATACTCATCAATATTCTGACTTGCAGCCAGTACTGGAGCACATGTCAAAATGAATTCCTGTATAGTGTATATAGTATTTATACAATCTTTGTATTTTTAAATGAACTTGGTTTTATGTGCAATGTATTGTTTATATTCATAATTCGATACTTTCTAAACTTTTTTTCCAAACTCAAGAATATATTTTACAACTATTCCATGTACATACAGTGGTTTAGTTTTTATCTGATGTTGATACTAAATTATAAATATGATGTAATTTTCCTACATTCACAATTTGTAAAAATTCATTTTTAATGTGGTGTGACATGCACACTGTGCCTGAATGCTATATTTAATACTAAGTATTTGAGAAGGTACAACTGCACTAGCTATGGTTTTCCATTCAGAAATAAGTATAAAGATGCAGAGGTTATCACAAATACCCACCCCATGGGTAAACTTTACATTTGAAGGGCGGTAGTTGTTGTGCCACATATGCGCGAGATATATGGGTCTTATATAAACAAAGATTGCGACCTTGACTGTGATGCAGTTCTA